CCAACACACACTTAACCTGTGGTGAAGTTAACCACCCTTATTTGAGCTCAACAACGAGCATTGTAAAAATTTTTATGAGAATATTTACTTCAATCAGAAAGGAAGAAGTCCTAAAATTTGAAGTCAATGAAAGAGGATAATCATTATTGTATATGTTAAGTGCACTAAAAGTAATTTTTATTACACTTTAAAACGGAAAGTATATTTTGAAATGTGATATAATCCAACCAGATAATAGGAAATCACTCTTTGATTGTGCATTGACGATATGTTTATCCAAAGTGTACTCTAACCCCCTCCGCAAATATCCCCATACCCCTACCACCTTTGTCACTGTCCCTCTCGCCACGGCCTACCTCTCTGCGTGGGTGTCTGTCATCTTTCTTTCTCTTCGAAACGCATAGATACACCAAAGCGGCCGCGGTGGCCCCGACTAGGCCCGAGGCCCAGCCCAGGCCTGCGGCCTGTTTCAGCACAGAGAGACTGCCCCCGCCGCCGTGGAGGAGCAAGTGCAGGCCGAAGAAAGGAGTCCGAATGGCGGGGTTGAGAGCCCCGCGGGACACAGACCTACTGCTTAGCCCTCCGCACACCAACGTGAAGCCGGATCCAAGCCCGTGAAGATGAACCCTCCGCCACGCATTCTCGTCCTGGGCATGTAACACGGTGGAGCAGAGTACAAATGTGAAAATGCACTCCGCAAAAAAGTTTCGAATCAACTGGGCGAAGCTCTCGTCCTCTTTTAGAATAGCAAAGTCGTTCTCATCTAACAGTAAGTAACAAAGAGCTGCCAGCGTGCTGCCTACCAACTGAGCTATGACGTAAAGTAAGAGTCGGTAACCATCAAAGGCATTGTGCACCTGGTCTGACGGCATTGACAACCACATTGAGGTTGAAACCATGGGGTTAAAATGCCCCCCACTGATGTAAGCAAATGTGAAGACTAACGAAGTGAGAAGGAAGCCGATGCCAATAGCCGCTACCTCGGGGTTGTACGTGAAACATAATGTTACTGTTAGTACAAAAAGAAATGTTCCTATGCATTCGACCACTACTGCAGACTTAAGCGGGCTCAAACGATATGCATGAAGGAATGAAAGTTGTCTATTCGATATAACGGTCCTAGATTGTGAGTTTCGAACATTCTCTGCGGGAAAATCTTCTTCAGCAGGGCCCTGAAACCTCGCAGTGTTTTCCAAGGTGTAAGGTACATTATTCAAGATTATATCTTGAGATTTGCCACCGAATATCATAGCTTTCTCTTCGAAACAGCACTGGTAAGATAACGGGATACAAAAAAGACCTGGAATTCAAGTGACAATTTGAAGAAAAGGAATAGAAAAACAATGTGAAAAAATAACTAAGCAACTTAGCGAAAATGTAACACTACAAAACAAAACTATTCCACTATCTTACTATCTTAGAGTACCTGTTGAGAAAATAAAAAAATTAACGGCTAGAATTATCCAAATATTATCAATTTTGTTATTTTCACCTTCATGGGTTGAAGGTGTATGTAATTGCATGTTAGATCATTTCCGTTTTTGTTTTGTTTTGTTTTTACCTTTAACAAAAGTAACTTTAAAGCAGCACATGATACACACCTTTGAAGAAAAATATTCAACATTACCGGACAGATATTAAAATGCGTTTTTAAACTAACAATATATAAAAGGGAGAAACTATACTAAAGATACATATATAAAATAAGTAATGTGGTTTATAAATATATAGCCCTTCATTACTCTACATCCAAAAGGGTTACCTCAAACACAATTGTAGTATTAGGAGGAACCAGCCCTTGGAATCCTGAAGCACCGTATGCTAGTGACGGCGGCATTGTAAGCTTACTCCTCTCCCCCTTGGACATCTGCACGATGCCCTCATCCCAACCTTTGATAACCTGACCGCAACCCACACGAAACACAAAAGGACGACCTCGTATAGCGGTTGAATCAAACTTAGCATTGTCCTCTAGATAACCAATATAGTCTAATGTGACAATACAACCAGAATAAGGGATAGTCTTTCCATCGCCCTCAATGATTTTATCCATCAAAACAGCGTCTGTTGGCATGTTGAATCAGTACAGCTATGTGCCTACCGAAGTTGCTACCTTACTAATATATATATATGAGATTTATTCTTTGTTATTACCTTAGTGTCTCACCAAAATGATATACTGTATATTATACACACAATGAACGGAGAAACAACAAATAATGACACGTCCGCCTAACTTGTACTTTTATTTTATATTAAATATCTTTAACAGTCTTACCTTGCTTAAAGACCTTTAAAAAATAAAGATTGAGAAGAGGGAAATTAATAAGGGCATTTACTTGCTTGATTCTCAGTCGGCAATTCACATAGTATGCAAACTCCTACTCCTTAAATGTTTTTTTTACTGCATTCTTTCTGTGTTATTATTTTGAATACATCAGGTAATTTGGTATCTATGATAAATAATGAAAATACAAGCCACCTTTAGGTTCACCGCATTCTTACTAGAAAGCCAATACAATTTTTCACTGAAGTATTCATGTAATAATACTTGAAAATTACCCAAATAAAGGTAGTTTTTCCCCCATAAGAAATCTGAAAGAATATAATTAAAAATACGTTTATTGAATTCAGGTTTTAAAATATAAAAAAGCTCACCCATTTTTAAAAAACTGAAAGGATACTTTATCTGACAGGATAATGTTACTTGTTGTCACATTCAATCAAGAAATGATGAAAAAAAGGTAGTGAATTGAGTGCAAAAAAAGATACATCAGAACACAAAATACACAAACCTTACTGTATAGCCTTCAGTTTTATACCATTTTAACAATTTGTGCGTTTTTCATCATTTTCCATAAACAAAGAGTCAAACATGCTGCTTACTAAATTTAAGAGTACGAACATCTATTTACTATTACTATTTATTATTCTGTAATGTGATAAATTATTGCTGAACATGCAATGATATTTATCATGTTGTTGTTGTTTCACTTTCCATTAAAAAAAATGATCACAAAAAACGTACCGGAAGAATGATCTGATGAAATTTAAATCACCACACTGTTAGTTTAAGTTATCCTGTTTAAACAAAAAAAAAACGTAAAATTAAAGAGAGTGGTAGGTGGCAGAATACTAATTCAAGACTGAGCACTGATACGGATCGTGGCGCCAGACCCCAGGCCTTAAGAACATCACTCCTCTTCTGTTATCAAAGGGGTCGCCAAGAGCGGAGTCAGGCATTTTGAGAAAATCATCGTACGACGGCGGAGGCTCATAAATGACTGTATCGACCGGCTGCGAGAGAGAAACCGGCAACTCTACGACAATCGTACCACGAGGCAGATGCTTGGGTCGGTATTCATCCCGATTGCGCCTCTGGATTTCCGTCTTGAGCGCCTTTTCCTCGCTTACTGGCATTACCCACATCCCCTCCACCCCCCCGACGCTGTCGAACAACATGCGGTGGTTCGCGCGGAGCAACCGCAGGGCGGTAGGGGTGTCGAGGATGGTCGGCCACACACACCCCTTCCCTTGCCCGGTGATCGCGTTTCGGTGGTTCTCCACAGACACCAGCGTCCCGCTCGGAGCGTTCAGGACGCGACCCAGCAGCCACCGCACCATCGCCACCGTCCCGGCGCGCCGGAGCTGGCCAAGGAAGATGCGACAGCCCCGTGTTGCGCGGGGGCGGGGACGCAGCGCCTGCTCGATCCTCTGCTCGTCGTTGTCGAGGTCCTCGTGACAGGGTATGAAGACAGCGGGCTGGCGCGAAATGGGCAGCCGTGTCAAACACGCAAAGGGCAAAGACTGGAGGTAGTGGAAGCGACTGACCTCGCGCACCCGTAGGGTCTCTTGCCAGGTCAGGCAGGAAAAGACCCCTTCCCAGATCGCATCGTCATAGGCAAACCTCCGATGCTTGGCGGTGAGTTTGTGAGGGGGATGGATGCAAAGCGTCTCTGCAAGCTTGTCATCATCCTCTAAGATGGACTCTCGCGCTTTAGAGTCTTCCTCATGCTCGTCAGAGTCTTCGTTGTTGACAACATCGAAGCTGGAACACCGGCTCATGGTTGAAGTCAAAATCCCATCGGAATAAAGCTCGGTAAAAGATGTGTATTTGCCAGAGGGTATCGAATTGAAGTAAGGGTTACTCTGTTCTTGGCTATTTATGGGGGAGCTAGAGGCAAAGCCGTAGGAATTCGCGATTAATTCCAAACTCAGCATGTGTTTACCCATGCTGATCTCACTTGCTGTTTTCACTGCAAGTAGGAGCATAATGAGACTAATCTCCTTGGGCAGAACACGTTTTCTTTCATTCGCTTTCAAGCGGCAAGGCTGGAGTGGGATAGGTGATAAGGACAAACCCACACTTCGAATTTCGCTGTCGTTGCCATTTGTACGATATTTGAAGCGTGGGCATCTATTTTGTTGGATTTGTGTAGCCATTAAAACAAAAAGGTATATATATACCTGAATTTATATATGCACTTTCCTTTGAAAATCCTAGAATTTCTCAACCTTAAAAATTCTTATAAATTAATGAGAGGGGGTATTGTAAAAGAAAAAAGGACTAATTTAAATGTTGATAAGAAAATAATCTTAAGTCGCCCAAGTGACATACATATTCAACTATATTCCTCCATTCATATAGAAAGGCAAAAATAATATAGTTTGAGTTACTATTCATTCCTCCCTCTCTCTCTTCCTCCTCTCCCTATGAAAAAAACGCAAAAAGTTAGAAATAAACGCCTAAAACCAACTTTATGTTGTAGTAGCGTACAGAAATATTTAAAACATCCGAAGTCTTTGCCTGAGTTGCAATGGTCTGTCTTTTTTTTTTCTCCCTATGAAGGATTAAACTCATATAGAACCATAAGCTTGCAGACTGATGGCGCTACGTTAGCGCTATTTAGCACTAGTATAAGTTCGTGAATGAGCGCTTCAAGAAGAAATACTAATCGAAGCTCTCTATCAAATCACCTCGAAAAAAATATAGATGATTATGCAACGTCCTCACCAATTGAACACATGAATCGCTATGAAAGGATTGAAGATTTAAAATTATTCACAAAAATAGCGCTGTTTGTCAGTATAGAATATCGCAAACTGTTTGGTTACTTGGCAACTGCATCAGAAAAGTAATACTTGTATCGAATTCAAGCACTTGCAATATTTTTTTAGTAGTAATGCAAAGAAAATAATTCAAGTTTCAAAGTGAAAAATGTGTTTAGTGAAAATAATCTAAAGACAATTCGAGTAACTTATATAATAGGTTATTTGTGCATCGTGCAATACGTAGATAGCTAAGGTTAAACATATATCAAGAAAAGCTAGTAGCGTGGCCGAATAAGGTCGAGAACTTCTTTCCCAGGCATATCATGGAGCAAACGCTCACCTTCTAGGGCCTCTTTCGTCTCTTCGGCTAGGTATCCACCACTTTGACCACATTCAGAGATCCACGCGCGGCTCACTGGTGTTCCACAGCGCGAACCACAGCTTTTGCTAACCTCATTTATAAGCTCCCAACCGTCTATCAGCTGCCCAACAACAACAAACTTACCATCCAAGTGCTTATTATGAGAAAGATTAAAAAAAAATTGCGATCCATTTTGGTTAGGCCCACTGTGAGCCATAGCTACAGTCCCTGGGAAGTGTTTTCCTGCTTTTTCGGAAAAGCCTTCGTCTGGAAATGGATAACCGAAAACGCTTACATTACTTCTGCCATCCTTGGTAAAAATATCTCCACCTTGTACTATGAATCCAGGAATGATTCTGTGAAAGGGGATTCCCTTGTAGTATAATGGGCACACACTTCGTCCACGTTCTCCAGTGCATAAAGAACGGAAGTTCTCAGTCGTTTGGGGAACAACATCCCTAAAAAGTTCTAAGAAGACACGACCTAAGGATTCACCCTCAACAGTTATGTCAAAAAAAACGACAGGATTAGATGGTATCGGTCTGTACGGCATAAAAGAAGCCAAATTGGCCCTTTGGGTCCAACCGCTTCGCCTCAGCATATAGTTTATTTTCTTTTACTATTGATGATCTAAATAATAAAAGGTGTAGACCTATAGAAATAGATAAATGATATTCGTATGCAATTACAATAAGATGGTGCTTATACTATTTGAGATACATATCCCAATTCCAGATGCATAGATATTGCTGGAATATTATGACGATGTTCATAAGTCAATCTAAACTCAAATAAAATTATGCGAAAAGATCTCACAAAAGGTATGAAAATAATCTTCGTATCACCTAAAATATAAATCTAGAAAATTCGAGTCCTAATATTTCCTACCTACATATATTCAAAGCCAATTTACAGCTAAACCCTCTTTTTACACTGATATTCAACTGTATTAGAACAAATTTACTCCCTCGTTTCCTTGTTTGAAAAATATCTTTTATTTCCCACATACATTAAAAAGCATATGGAAGCGTCATTTTCCTTACTATGCCTCTGAAAATAATATATATTGATGTCACTTTGTATAGGCATAATAAAAAAAGGCACATATATAATATTAGTCTATATAATTCTTGGAACTGTGAATTCACATTTGGCAATTGTATATCCAAAAGACACTGCGATTTACTTGAAATGTATACTTCTGCTTTCTGCTATTAACAGCAAGCCTTCGTCTTATTTTTAATCGGCTTGGAATTTCGCCCACTTTTCTGTGCATTATGTTCGGCATCTTTCAACATCTTTGCTTTAAGCACATTATTTGCGCGCTGCTCAGCCAAACACAAAGATCCCTCATCACCATACAGAGCTTGCATGAAATAGTCAGCAGTGAATGCGCCCTTATGTTCATTATCTAAGATATTGAACAATTCATCAATTTCATCCTCAGACAACGGATTATCGTTGGAACGAGCTTCATTGAAAATTTTTTCGAGTGAGGCGCGTGTGATGACATTGGACGGCGCAACAATAACGACTGACTTGGCCAAATCTTCAAGAGAGATATATGAGCTTTTATTTAGTTCACAAAAGTCAATGAACTCTTCACGGGTGAGCTGTCCTGGGTATTGAGAGCGAGAAACTGCGTCATTAATTACTGGAGATTGTAAGTTATACCCAGCCTCAATCCCAGCGATAGCAATTCTCGACCGAGGAAGTACTGCATTACCATCTGCCCGGGAGACTTGGTGTTTGTTAAAAGCCGCAGTGACAGGTAGAGGCATCTTGTTTGTCAAATTTTTGAATATTTTTAAAATTGGTTTGTTTATAAATTGTTTCTAGTTTCAATGAATACTTTTGAGCAATATTTTAAAGAGGAACTGAGAGAAAAATTTTAAAGTACATATTTTATAAAAGCAACCCTTTTCATACTACAAATACATAAATAGTACAATTATTTAGAAACTACGGGTATTACCCGTTTCAAGAATAGTTACTTCAGCTTGCTAGAGCAGTTCAGTTGAGCGTGAAGTTGAGATAAAGCCACCTAAGTCCCCAACACGTCTGAATACAGATCCCATCTCGTTTGTAGAAGGATTCATTTTGGCTGGATATAATTTAGTCCCAAATTTTACCAGATCAAATTCATTGTCAAATACTCTTCCAGAACCCTCGATTAGAGCACGATCCTGTTGTGACTTAAAATGATGTCGTTTACCCATTAATCGAGGATTCATCTTCCCATAAGATTCGTTTAGAAATATCACCTGCTGCCGTAGGCTCTCTAGTTCATGGTTGTCAGGATGCAAAGTCAGTGCATCATTAATAATATTTAACGAGTGACTAAAATTATCCTGATATGCAACGGCTGTGGCCCAGAGGCGATATGCATTGGGTGCGGAAGAATCTGTTCTTTTGGTGTTGGATAGCAACAATGCAGCCTCCCTACCATGAAATTCAGCTTCTTTAAATTTACCGTCAAGTAGGGCAGCCTTAGAAACATTGCAGTGGACTACAGATCTGCTAATATCATCATGTGCAAATGGAAGCGAATCAATCAGCAAAAGAAATGAATCATCAAACTCGTTCCTAAGTGCACAACCCTCTGCAAAGGTAGTGAGAAGTCGAATTAACTTTAACTCATCGTCAGCAGTCTTTTCAGGTATTGAAACAAAATTACCTACCACTGAGCCAACTTCATTTGATATCGTGTTGACCTTATCTGGTAGAATTTGATGCTCCATTGAATCAGTCTCCTCAAATGACTTCCTGGCAAACCGACGATGTGGTGTACTTCCATTAATCATTATTGCTTCTTTGTAATCGTAAAGATCATCTATAAGCTTTGAATGAGATAATTTGTGTGCTAATGCTGCTCTGATACCGATAGGTGGTATTCGTACTCCAAGTTGACTCTTGATTTTCACAAGTGCATTTGAAAGGTGTAGAATGGAAGGTTCATACGCTACGTATCCCTTCGTTTGTTCAGCAGTTGTGCAGTTTTCCAGTAAATCTAGAAGTTCCTCAATAGCTGCAGTCAGTTCTTGAAGTGGATCATTAAGAAAGCAATCCAGCCATTCTTCAACTTCAATAGGAACGTGTTGTTGTTTATAAGTTGCTAAAAACTCTTTTAGTCGAAAAGGCGCATCTAAGCCGGTTGGAAAGCACCCTAAAGTCCACCAATATTTCATTGTATATGGCCCTGGACCATGTGAACCTGGAAATCGGTACAAAAATAATGTAGGATTCAAGGTCATATGCTTTTCATGTTTTGAACCAGGGCTCCATCCTCCACGTTGGTAACCACACAACTTTATATTTTTTTTCAACATAATGTTACTATGTATAATGTTTTATTTTGTAAAAAAATTAGAGAAAAGTCAAATATTGATTTTTTTTTTTAATCGAACATATATAGAATAAATTTTATAATATATATATATATATATATATATATCGATATATTGTTATATAAATTAAAGAGAAAAAAAATATATTTCGCTCCACTAATAGTAATTAGTCTGAAAAGCGACGAAGAAGGCGTAACCAATTGAGATATTCCTCTTGTTCAAGGTAATGAGCCTGTGACATTATATACTCCGCAAAAGGATTATTAACTCCTCTTTCATCTAAATAATCAAGAATCTCATCATAAAGGTCATCGTCCAACTCTTTCAGCATAGGCCCACGATATCCGCTATCCCGCTTTCGTCGTTTTAAAAAATTTGTTCCTCCATTACTTAAGTTCTTTGGGGGGTCTAGATCGAATACTGAAATTGCGTTTTCAAAGCTTTCATCAGAATCATGAATAGCTAATGAGTCCATGACAAGTTCCATGTCGATAGTTGTCAAACCAAATTCAAGACCACCTTTTGAATACCTTTTTTTCTTCAGAAACAGAATGAAATTCAAATATTCTTGTTCTTCACGCTCACCATTATCCATACGGAAAGTGTGCTCATATTGTTTTATTTCCATATGAGAAATGATGTGCATTAACTCGACCCCGCATTGACGTATTTCAACTTCTTTCTTAAGATCAAACCGATTAGATCCCGGTCTATGTTCAAACGACCATCCACTTGGAAGAAATGGTTTTACTGGAAGAAAATCTCGAAGTTTTTCCTCCTTTTCCTCTCTTAAGGTTAAATTGTACAAATTTCTATGAAGCCTGGGCTCCATTCGCAAGGAATTCGTTGAGCTTGTACATTCATTAACGGTATAGTCCCTAGTCAATGGAATAAGGGGTGTGCAACTTCTAAACAAACGTTTTAACATTTTCTAGTAAAAGATTTTGAGAGATGAATTTTTTCATGGGTTAAAATGAGCTTAAGAAGTACAGTGTGCTATCATTTTTGCTATAAGTATAACTTCCAAAATTCTAATCTATAAAAACATTTCGATAAGTTATCAAAATAAACGTCAATGGATAACCCAAATAAATAAAAATACACAAATGCAGAATATTGGGTTAAACTAATGTTGAAAATATTAAAAAAAAACACTATTAAAATAACTGAAATATTGCGCCATTTTACCTTCATCTTTTTAGAACAACCTGTAGTGGAGAGATTTTCCTAAATTGTAGATATCTTTTATTATAATCCTAATTTTTCCTCTCAAAAAGAGAGTGCAAGGACTTATATACTCTTTACTTATTTGATAAGTTTCAATAAGAAATCTTACATCGTGTACAGTTTGTAAAAATTGGAAAAATAGTAAGTTATAATTAATTTCTTGCGTTTTCATTTTATATTTTTGTGTTGCCCCTCCCCCCCTTCCACCCCATCCAACCCCTGGGTAACTATTTGTAAAAAAACACAAGGCAGGAACCATGCTTGTGGAAAATTCTCCGGTCATGGAAATAAATAAAATGTTGCTGAATCTTTGACGTCAAGCTTGGCGAGTCAAACAGCCATCTCCAAAGAGGAAAGGGTAGCCGTTCTTTTAGAGGTGGCCCAGAAGACATATTTTTCACTCCTAATTTCTTCCAAAGGAAAGGCTTAATCAAATGAATCTTCAACCTTCTTTCCAAAATTTGCAAAGTTATTCCAGCGCTTTCTCAATTGGCGCGGTCGCATGCATTGACCTAAATGCTGGCTCTCTAAAGGGGTAAAAAAAAGGTAAATTAAGTAGTCGTCTAAATCTGGTTCACCTATTTCCATGATTTTCTAAAAGCCCCCCTCCCCCAAATAATGATCCACAGATTTTCCACAATAAAAGAATTAAAAATTAATATTAATAATGGTACTCGTGTCGCCATTTTATTATCTATAACCTTCCAGCATTTTAATCTTAAGCCCTAGATATAAGAATATTTTAAAGGTAATTATGAAAAAAAGGTGGGCAGTGGGGTATTTTTGTGAAACAGCAGATTTCTTTTCCATTTTATTGTGAACTCGCAACTGATAGACATTTCAGCTGCGCAAAGCATAATTCATTGCTG